CAGTATATACACAAACCTCTCTAGCATCAATGACCGTTCCTACATCTACAAAACATTCTATAAACAAAACTATCATTACTTATGTGAATCAACGTGATCCAGTATATACACAAACCTCTCTAGCATCAATGACCGTTCCTACATCTACAAAACATTCTATAAACAAAACTATCATTACTTATGTGAATCAACGTGATCCAGTATATACACAAACCTCTCTAGCATCCATGACCGTTCCTACATCTACAAAACACTACAAATAAAACAATCATTACTTATGTGAATCAACGTGATCCAGTATATACACAAACCTCTCTAGCATTCATGACCGCTCCTACATCTACAAAACACTCTACAAACAAAACTATCATTACTTATGTGAATCAACATGATCCAGTATATACACAAACCTCTCTAGCATCCACAACCATTCCTACATCTACAAAACACTCTACAAACAAAACAATCATTACTAATGTGAATCAACATGATCCAGTATATACACAAACCTCTCTAGCATTCATGACCGTTCCTACATCTACAAAACACTCTACAAACAAAACTGTCATTACTTATGTGAATCAATATGATCCAGTATATACACAAACCTCTCTAGCATCCATGACCGTTCCTACATCTACAAAACATTCTACAAACAAAACTGTCATTACTTATGTGAATCAATATGATCCAGTATATACACAAACCTCTCGAGCATCCATGACCGTTCCCACACCTACAGTCAGAGCTTGCCGAGGTACTTTCGAGAGGTCATTGTCAAAAAAACGTGCATTTGCTAGAATGGTATCCATAGCAAGTGTTTTGACTCTCGTGCGAGATGCTAAACTTGATCCTGGCTCATTAAAAGCTATATGGCCATCAGGACCAATTCCTAATAAATAAACATTCAAAATAACTGACGTGCATTTCATCAGTGTTACAAGTAATTAAACAACCATTTGTATTTCACATATAAAACTTGAACTGAACCAATAATTTTAAATTCTAATTTTCACATCATAATTTACTTTTTAAGAAAATTTCAGGTATGTAAAAGCATTGCAGCTCACCAACAATAATAAACCATTTAAAATACAAATTTTATCACATTATGTAAAATAGCTTAATAATTTTGAATAAATATTCAAACAAAAAGGTGAAACAGTGGTTTCATTTTCTGTCAAATAGTTCAATACCAAAGTAAAAGCATTCTCTCACCATTATTAATGAGAATAACACAGTAACCAAAATTAACCTTGTAACACAAAGTCTTAACATCCAGATCAAATCCATTCACATGTTGTATTCTTTGTGCAGTTAATCCATTTGTATTATTCAACACTCATGAATAACTTTAGGTGACATTTATATACCTGCGTCGACGACACACAGATATATTTATTTATACACATATATATTGTCATATACTTATATCTTCATTACACTTTGATGCATACCCTAATAGTTTCCAAAGACTGCCTCTCAGGTTATTCTCCAAAGCTACTTCTCATTAGGCATGGTCTGGTAATGTGCTACCATGTAAGAGTCACCTTAAACGTGCATGTTTTTCTTTTCATGCTTCACAAGATAAATGATCACCAAAGAAAACTTGGTTGAATGTTTGAAAGGCTCATTACTGCTCCGTGTTCCACTTACTTCACCATTCGGTGCCCACTTTCTCACCTGTCAGTGAGATAGCTCCTGTTGGTGCATATTATCCCCCAACAGCACCTCCAGTCTCACTAGGATTTTCCCAGGTAGTCTCCCACTTCCCAGATACCACAGTTGTCTCTGCTTCCCTTGCATGAGGGCAGTTCTCAGGGGAAGAACTTACCACTTCTCTTTCTCAATTCTGTGGCAACAATGAGAAAGAAGTTATGGACCTTCACAGCATCAACAAAACTCTAACGTCCTGGAAAGGACTTATACACCCAACATCTCTCTTATACAACCATCAACCTTCAGTGACCAACTCTTCTTGATGGTTGTAAGTCCTTTGAATTGTGGAAAATGCTATTTCAGCAGCAAGAATCTTTTTTAAAACTTAATAATGCAAGAGTTCAAGTAAACAACAGTAACAGACATCAGCAGAAAACTGCAATGTGGTATCCTCTGTATAATTTTCTCCTTCCTATCACTCTGTGGTACATTTAGGTAAAATTGAGTTAACTTTAGAAAAATGGGGTAATAACAGGAGATTCATCAAGATATTCATTATGAAGTAATTCTGAGTTCTGTGACTTTTAAGAAAGAGACTAGATTTACAAAAATTCCCAAACAAAATAAATTGTTTATAGAATGAAGGACAGCACTTTTATAGCTATCTCTCTTAAACTTTCCTAACAACATATAAAGATGTTTAATAAGAATTAAAGGTTAAACTTTAGGAGAGTATTACTATTTACAAAGAAAGGACTTAAACCGACAGCTTGAGCTTACAAAAGCTAATCAAGAGATCATAGTATTATATACTAAATTATCAGGACATGTATACCATCTATGTCACAGTAGCAATGCTAAGGGAGGCACCATCCTTGAAATTTGTTTACCTCCCCTAAAATTATTACATAGACTAGTAAAAGTTAAATCTTCATAAATACAACCATACACAAGGAAAATCCACCCCAAAAAACATTACCCAATATCTGATTAGCCTTAAGAGCTTCTTAATTTATCCCCCCCCCCCTTCCCCATCCAAGCTCATCTCTCTACCGCTTCTTTGTTTCTCTACTTTCAAATTTTAAATTTCTGGAGCCTGCACTAGATGTCACTTTTGATCAATCCCATTGAAATATAAGAGAGGTTATAGTATTAAGATATTACTTAAGCTACCATTGGAGAACACTGGCTGCGTACATTCTTGCACAACATGCAGCATTACAGTCTTGCCACCAATGGGCAAAACAGGTATCTTTTACAGAGAATGACAAAGTTAATTATTTCTAGAAGGTAAAATATGTATAATTATTACTACAAGAAAACCATCTCTCTATGTTTAAAATGGTAACCATTAGTTTTAATGAGCAACATGTATGCAAACATAAATGAAATATTTCATTTTGTAGGACTTACAAACTCAGAACAAATAATATTCAATATAACATTATACACTTCAGACTACACCTTTAATGTTGACTATGTTTTCAAATTTAAACAAAATGGTATTGTATGTTACATCATTTATTTCTTTCATATAATGTGAACCTTCTCAGCAGCTTTGGCTACATTATGTGAAATCAACATAATTATCAGTTAATTTGATTAGAAGAGTTGGAATTTTAACACAAAATCACATTATTTTTGTATAATTCCACAGGAAGGTTTAATATTTTATAATGATGAAATTAACTGGTCATTTTAGTAGATTTTAATTTGAAAGTATCAGAAGATACTACAGTTATAACTAGTTTTACTAAAAGTTGGTTCTGAGAGTTGGGTTTGATTTTCTTGGATGTTTGTTCAAAACTATCTGCACTAACCATCCCTAATTTTGAAGTGATACACTAGAGGGAAAGCAGCTAGTCAGCAATGGGTGCCTAATGAAGTGATTTATTTTGGGGGGAACATACTACATACATGTTACGACAGAATGTTAGTCTGTCTTCTTCAGGTATGGCCACACCATAATGTGCTTCCTTACTTAAGTAACCAATGGGTGCATTCTGTATATATATGCATTTTACCAAATTATCTGCAACACATTTCCATATATGAGAAAATCTGAACACTAACAACCATATCACTGTGAACGTATCTACTATAACAGTGGTTTACCTCCAACAAAAAGTTCTATTCCTCCTGCCTCTGATATTTTTTTCTCAAATTCTTCACATTCCTTCTGCAAGTTAGGGGCATTTCCATTCAGAATGTGAGTGTTTTCCTGTTGAATATCTACATGCTTGAAGAGGCTGTTCCACATGAAAGAGTGGTAGCTTTGAGGATGGTCCCTTGGTAATCCTAAAATAAATGCATCATATCTGTATGATATAATAAGGATTTTTTAACACTAGTTCATTGCAACAATAAAAAAGTAAGTATTTAATACATTAACAAATATGAGTCACTTTTGGGTTATTTATATTTCTAGTATAAGAAATGGTTTGTCTTACTAGAACCATTGTAGTACATTCAGGTTGAACTTTACTAACTTAAAGGTGATGGGTCATGGTAACTACTGTGGTATAATATTGAATCTCTGACTAACTGAGTCTGAGAAAGAAAAACACATGGTAATGCACAAAATGAACAATCTTTACTAATTCATAAAAAAAGTTATGTGCTTGTTGTAAAATATAGAAATGTTACTTCTACTGGATGTCATATTTTCAAGTCATCACCTTTACCCAAAGTGACAAGCATTACCACATAACTGGTCATTCTCATTCAAGCATAGGGAAGGCTATAACCTAGAGATATCACCTGAACCACTGTTGAAGAACATTAGCTGTCAATGTTCTTACATAATATGCAGCATTAGAGCCAAGACTTCCATGGGCAAAACAGGTATTATCTTCTAGAAAATGACAAAGGAACAAAGGTAGTTAGAATGTGGTGAACTTAGTAGCAATCTTGACCATGTGTTATTTGGAACCTGTAGTAAATAAATACTATTATAATAGAAAAAGACAGAAATGCATCGTATGTTCATATACCACACAACCATTGAATTCAAACTTAAAATGTGGGTTGAAATTAACTTTAGGTTCCTTATATTTTTACCAATAATTTAGTGACACCCAAAGATATTAAACATATGCAGCTTTCATACAAACACTACATTTACACAAAGTATGAACTTACAACATACTATACTGTGTTTAATCTACATGCTCTTCTAGTCATGCCTATAAAAACACACACTCACCCACATATTCATCCATATTGAATGTCTTCACATAGTGAAATGACAGAGTTCCATCTCTGTAGAATTCGATCAACTTATTATAGGTTCCTAAAGGAGTACTTCCTGAAAACAAACAAAAAAAAAAGATTTGTTCTTGTGAGATTTCTAAATAACACTCTCCTGATAAAATTATTCTAACAATGTAGCACATTTTGATGAAACATAACTCAGATCACATATTTCCTTAAAAGTGCATGATTTGTTACCTCGGGCAACTTCAAACTCAACACGTATCTATAAATGCTACATTTCTTTTATCTTAACATGAATCTGTTTTTGTTGCTACATTTTTTGTACCTCTACAAGAACCTGTCTTTATTTTTTCATTTCCTGTACCTGTCTTTATTGCTATACTTTCTTGTATCTCTACAACTTGTCTTTACTTTTACATTTATTGTACTTGTCTCTATGCTATACTCCTTATATATATATATCTACAAGAATCTGTTTTTATTGCTACATCTCTTGTATCTCTACAAGAACCTGTCTTTATTTTTTCATTTCCTGTACCTGTCTTTATTGCTGTATTTCTTGTGTATCTACAAGAATCTGTTATTATTGTTTCATTTCATGAATCTTTCATTATTTCTATCTTTCTTATACTCCTACATACACTTGTCTTAAATTTTATATGTTTTGTATCTCTATGTATACTTACCTTGAATGCTAAATTTCTTGCACAAATATTTGTAATTGGGTTACCTCTCACAACATTATTTTGTTCAATGCTGTTATAATATGTAATGTATAAAAATGTATGAATACCTGTTGGCAAGCCAAGAGTGAAGTAACGATCTGGTCCTGGATTGAACTGATGAATTCGCTTCCGAATATACTTGGCAGTCCAAGTGCTAACATCATCATTAGAGTCAAGAATCACCAGCCTCATTGTTATTTTCTACACCAGTTGTTTTTGAAAAGCACTAAGACGAAATCAGATGAGTCAGAATACATATAAGAAGTGTAAGTGAAAATGTCGTGACACCATGTATACTGCTATTATATTGATTCTAGATAATTTAAAAAGATATTATTTAAATATTGATACAACTCTAATGATATGATTCTTGCACATATATAATAGTCAGCATCTTTATCAACTATAGCTTGCATTTAAACATTTCTCAATGGATAATTAAGTTTTCAGAATAACCTTAACATATGAAATCCATATCTTTACATAAAGGCTACATGTCAGGTTTACGTTTAGTAAAAAAACAACTCATGAAAGCTCTTAAGTCTATCAGTAAATCACTTGAAGTACTTGTAACAAACTCTGATATACTTAAATAAATATGTAAAAACTAAAACATTCAACTCAACAACTGTACATAAAACAAACCATGACTAAAAATATCACATTGTACTTAACTACTCATGATTATACCAGAAATTATAAATCACAAAACAAAGAACTTGGTAATGTATCTTTTGGAAGGAGGTTAATTAAGTGGGACTGATTAGGAAAGTTTGGTTACTACTGGCATCGTGTATACACAACAGACCATAATGGCAACACGGAAGTGTGTCTATGTTGGCTATTAATAGGAAGTTACAGCTGTGGCTCGTTTCCAGTGTACAAAAACAATAGTATTATCTCATACTATATGATAATTACAGTAGAAAATAATAAGAAACTTTGTGATTCAACTCAGACTATAGCTTATATAAAATAAGCCTCTTGAGAAAGGTAGCAAACAATACATTACTTATTTTTGTTTGTTTCTAGTTAAGCGCATAGCTACACAAACTGATAAAGGGCTATTTGTGCTTGTCCACCACCGGTATTGTAATTCGATCTTCTCTTGGTCAGTTTCGATCACATTGTACCGATCAGGGAGAGTCGGGTGATCTTCCTTTGCGGTTTCTATATTTACTGTGAAATTATTTTCACGTGTTCAGGACATCGAAATTTAATTAGTTACTTTGCTCCTCTGAATATAGTGCCATTTCATTACTTCTCTTCATTTGGTTGCGTAAATAGTTGGTTTCACACTCGCAAAACAGTTCCATAGTAAGACGTCATTTTGTCACTTGATGAGGCTGTCAGACATGTATTTCATATAAATACCCTTTTAAAGCGATAAATTATTGTGTAGTGTAGATGGACTTATTCTTATAGTGAATACTGAGTGGGGAGAGATACTTAAGACCACCCCCATCACGTATGGTATAACGATTATTAAAACCCGATTTTTTAGCGTTATAAATCTTCAGATTTACCGTTGAGTCGCTGGAGGGCACATTGTTTTTAATACACTACTAAATAATAACTTGATCTATATCAATCAGTCTCTAAAGAAACATACGTCATTGTTCTTATTAAAAATAACTAATTAATCAAAACTGTCATTCCGTACTCTTAAATTTCCATGAAAATAAAATTATGTATACCTTCAACAAATAATTAAATACAGGTCTACGTTTAAAAAAGAAATTATGTTCCAGGCTTTCCGCATTAATACTCATTACTTTCTGAGTAATGATCAATTCATCTGATCTTCTAGTTTTAACTGCATCAAAGAAGTGATTAACCAATTAATTAAGACGGTAACTAACGAACTATAATTACTTTCCTGAATGTCATACATAAGTTTTAGTGAAAATAAAAGTATCTTACCATATAATTGTTCGAAAAGTTGATTTAATAGCACTATTAACTACGTTGTTGCAACTGATGTTGATTCTAATGTATTCATCCAATGGTTAAAGCCGTAGAACTCGTTTGTAAGTTCATTGAACTAAACTTGATATATTGACTTTTTTAGTTTGTTGCGTTTAACCTTGGGAAGTTACGATAGTTTACAATGACATATTAATATTATATACATATGTATTTATTTTATTTTTAATTATTTACACAAATATTAACCATCCTGATGCTCTTATGTGATGTAATAGCGAAAATGCAACATTTTAGAAATAATGAAATGTTTTTTTTTATTTTCGTCATTTACTGACTGGTTCACGATCACGTGGCTGGAGGTGGTATACGTGAATAAGAACGACCATAGAAACATTTATTTTTTTTTCAATTTTAAAACAAATTAATCGATAATCATCTAGAATAAAGAACGACATTTTGTGCAAGAAAAGAAATTAAAACTTTGTTTAAAAATACAATAAAATCTAGTTAGAAATATAAAGTTTATAAAAAGTAAATGTTATGCTATTCCAATGAAAACATATATGTATTTTTTTCAATTTTAAAGGCGTAGTGGAAAACAGCTTTTGCATAATTATATCTACGAGGAACTAAAGGTGTAGTAGTTTTAAATTAGTGTTGGATTCATTAAACTCAATCAAAATAAATGGAAAATATTAAAGCAATTCATAAAAATATAGAATAAAGTAAGATGTCAGAAGCATAAACACATTTATATTTGTCAAAAGACAATAGTATGACTCTTATGTAAATAAATTTCCTATCACTACTATGTTTATTGTAGTTTGTACCACAGTCGATCTGATGAAGTCTGGTATTGAGTGAAATGCATCGTCGGCAATGGATATGGTGAATAGAATCCCAGTCGAAATGCTATTATACACTCTTCTTTTTTGGAAACACCCTAAGGGATCGAATTAAGAATGTATTATTTAAAAATACAATACGTCTAATGCTACTGTTCTATGATAAATATAATTTATTATAATCATGCTACCCTAGCTGTAGGTATTCACACCACAACAGTTGTTATCAAATACGTTCTTTCCAGAGCTATTCCTTGACACATACTACTCCACTGCATGAAAAATGAAATTTACACAACGAGGACTGCGATGGGCATAAAAAGCTAGTGGCTGTTCTTTTCTTTAAAAAACAACAACAACAAAAAACCTGTACACCAAAGTATTGGCCTGATATATTTTTAACATCATCGTATGTTTGCCCAAGAAAAAAAGGATTATATTCGGAAGCAATAAGACATTAGTGGCAATCTTGGATATTCTTTCTCTTGTTCTTGAAGACATTTCATAGAGACCTACAAACTTTTCATGTGGCATCTGATCCTGATTCACAAAGCAGAGGCAGATTGGCTCTTGTTCAGTGCCTGAATGATCGCTGAATATTGCAACAGTGGCATAGAACTGACTTGCTTTGCAATATCTCTCACAATGGAGTTGAACAATAAACACAGGATCTCATTTTGAATTTTAGAGCAGATATGATTCTGATTATGTGTCAAACACATACAGAATTTGGAATCATCTTCTGATCTAAACTTCAGTAGCTGGCTTAGATTCCCCTCCTTTTCTTCGTGACCTCTAAAAGCCAACCTTGCAATGCCCAATACTGCACTGTGCTTATAATCTTCAATAGGCAAGATTTTCCCCATGTTGCTGTGATGCCAAAGCACTAGAGAGCCGGGTGTCTGTTGGTATTCCTCCTGAACATAAGTTGTCACCACTACATTAAACGATTGACAATTAACATGTTTTGCAAATCCCTCTTGGATTTTTTCAGGATACAAACACAGGGTCTGCATTTTTTGGCAAACAGTGACGTTTTGGCTTCTGAAAGCTTTTGTGCAATAAAAGCAAAACACTCTTTTCAAACAAGGGCTGTAGAGAAGCCAATAAAAACCTTTGAACAATTATGTCTGAAAAGGGAGAGGCCTATTTGTCAATGTTTGATCTATAAAGAAACTTGGGTTTGGCTGACGTGGGGTATTTCCAAGATAATCTCTTTCCAACCGTCCTAACTCTGTAGATTCTGCCTCAAGATACATTAGCCTCCTTGTCTGTACATACACACACATACCCTCTCTCTTTGTGGCATTGCTGCTCAAACTTGCCTGCTGTTGCATCTACTCCTAAATAAATACCAAACTCAGGTACCACAGTAAACATCTATTTCTAAATCACCTTATAGGGATTCTTACTTTACATGTATGTGTGGAAAACTAGATGAAATAATGGTAGTAATAATAATAATATAATTAATGATAAGAAGAGGAAGAATGAAGTTCTAGTGAGGCACTTCTTTAAAATAGTTGTACAGACTCTGTTTGAAGTTAAGGTATTGTTGTCTAGGTTAGATAATATTTTATAATGAAAGATGTGGACATATTGTAAAGCAAGAAATGGTATAGAAAGAAAGTTTTATTATGTCCCAATCATAATTATCTAGTATGTTTAATACTTTTCAAAGGGGTGGCAATGGTCTGATACTTCTGGTTGTGATTACAAATTTCTCTTATCAAAAACAATTCAATCAACACTTATACTGTTTTGCTTGGAAAAAATGCCCTATGTCCAGTCCATTTTTTCTCTTTTTGCTGTTTTTGACATTGTTAATAACTTCTTTAAACCAAAAATACACATTTAATTTTTAATATGGCTAACATTTGGTCCACTTAGTAATATTTTGGTGGCCCAGTAAAAATGCTTTCATATATAACCATATATTTAATATGTAACTTATTAATATTAACCATGGTTTCCATTTATAATTAACAAAGGGGGAAAAGGACATTTAATTATATCTAGTAAATTTATTAAACGAGAATAATTAAAAATGCAGCTCAAAATTTCAAAGAAGACAAATCAAATCAATAAACGGTCCTTTTGAGGGATATTAATGTACTATCTGTAATTTCATAAAACAGCTAGCTAAACAAGTTCCTAACCCACCAAAATCGAAATATACATCCGCTGTTACTTTACTAACTCTTACATTAAGATCTACAACATCTGTGAGTGTAAGAACTTGTTAACTGTTTAGTCCTAGTACTAAACAATTTCACCAATTCCTTAAGTTCTTAGCTTGTATGAGTTCCTAGTTGAATATACACTATGACCCATCCTATTATTGTGCATCACATATTTATTCCACTTGTTGAGATTATGTATTGTTAAGTCTCTGGTCGTTAGTTAATTTCCCGTATAATTTCTTTCCGATGAAACTTTAGCGACACAAGTCCTTTCTTAAATAAAACTAGTTTATTCTTTCTCAATACAACTTTGAAATTTACTTAATTTCCACGGTCAAGCTATAACTTAAACAAACGCTATAATTCACAACGAACGACACACGCGCTCGACCCAAATGTCCGTCTCTATCTCTGTCTGCAATTCAACTACATTCCATTGTTGCCGTCACTTCTTGACGGTC